TTGTCTATGTGCTTCGTCTGAACTTGAGAGGCGAGAACCGACCACGTGGTCGGCTCTATGGCGCGCTATGTGGATGCTAAGCGGTGTGGTGTGGGCGCTGTTCGTCGTGTGGTGTGTGGATCGCGCTCTTGTATCTTGTGAATATCTTGGGATCGTTTCGACTTCAGGAAACGCTTCATCAAATTTACATATGCGCCACTCTCGCTGGCCCAACATATTTGCATATTAAACGGGCCCGATCCGAAACGAACCGCTCAGAACCCGCCCCTAACCTAACCGATCGACAGTCGTCACTCGACAGTCCAGTCACTTTCCAACAACACTGTTTCCCCCCGTCACTGGAGCGGCCAATCTAAGTCGCACTTCTATCAGGAATATTCTCCGTTCCAATCTCTGGAGGAGATTGAGGGCCGTGGGCCGTGGGCAGGTACAACACCATCTGTGCATCCGTGTGTATCTGTGTGTGTTGCGTCAGTTCTGTGTGTTTGGGTCGAATCGTGCGCTTTTGCGGCTGCATCAATTACGTCGTTAAATTAATCAGTTTGCCTTAATCTCAATAAATTAGAGATAACGCTTACCCGATATTTTTTTCTTCTTTTTTTTTTTTGCATTTTAAATGCCACACGCTACCGGTACAGTTATTGGAAATAGCCTCCAATGCAAGAGTACTACTATGATGTGAGTGCCGTTCCGCGCCCCAAAGCCATTCCATCCCATGTGTTGAGATCTGTGTATATGTGTGCGTGTGTGTGCCATAGACAGGGGCGTATCCCAAGGGGGGATCGATCTAGCTTTGATTGGAGTTCCAGGGTTCATCTTTATACGCTACACTGGGAAACAGAAAGAGAGAACGAGATATACATGACTAATATTCATACTGGCTATATATGGCTATATATGTGATACTAAAATATGATATGCATAATAATAATAATAATAGTGGGGAGTAATCCATGAAAGCCTTCAATCACCTTTCCATGCTTTCCTTCCCTTCTATTCTATGTTTTACATCTGTCTATGATTGATTCATATTCCCGTTCGCCTTCTTTTTGTAAGCCCCCATAAAGAGACTTCCTGACTACGCCTTTGGTCTGAGGCATTCCATGTGGAGCCACATCAGGGGGGCTCGCTTTTGACAAATATATAAATATACACCCATACACTTACATACATATGTACATCTGTATATAAATCCAAACATACATATGTACATATATTTACGTACATATGTATATACATATGAATTTTTTTATTTTTTTTAATATTCCTGATTGGAGCTCATCAACATTCGACATCATCTGGCCTGCAACGTCACAAAAACTTGTGTTCCTTCCACAAAGCAATAGCACTGAAAAATACCGTTTCAGATACAGTTGATCAAGTGGATTATGGCGAATTATTCTCACTATAATCCATGAAAATTATTGGAATGTTAAGAAGAGAAAAAAAATGAAAGTGAATATAGTAAAATTCCAAAGATTTTAGTTTACTTTTACTTTATGGGGATTTCATTGGAGGTCGATTTGATGAACTCTTAGGATGTTTAAGATCTAAATGCCAAGCAAAATTTAATAGCTTTCATACAATTACCTTTTAAGCAGCTCTTCACCTAAAAATATTTCACTGTTCATCGCTTAACCGACCCGCCCATTTCGCTATCAGTTATCTACCAAATAAAAGTGTGTTCTCAATTCAAAAACCGCACACAATGCTCTCTATAAATTGTTGAGCTAACAAATTGTTACTAACAATATTCAAATTTCCATAAAAGATACACAACACACACTTACAGTCGGAACCTATAAACAAACATCGGGTGGGTCGTGGCGGGGCGAGGCGAAGAGGGCCAACTGGAGCCACAAACATCAGACCACCAGCAATACTTAGCACCAGCAAGACCCCGAAACCCCACCCCCCATATGCCGCATACCAACACACTGTCGAGTCGAGACATTAAAACAGAAATTATAATTTTTTGAAGGCCAATCTACTCTGTTGTGCTGTGCTTCGGTTCCACTCGTTTCGGATCGTATCGGTTCGGGGGCCCCAACATCTTTCTAATGTCAATTGTTACAATACTACGTCGTCGATTGCTCTTTTTTTTCTTTTTTATTTTTTTTGCTAGCGGCTTAAAAGCTTCGCGCAGGCGCAATAAGAGAAAGAAATGCTATTATGGCTGTGTCTGAGAGAGTACGTCACTGGAGGAGTTGGCTGTTGACTGTTGGCGTCACGTCACTCTTTCGACTGAAAGCTCCATTGGCTTGGCGATGTTTGGCGCCCAATTTGAAACCTGAGCTAATGCCTAGCGTGTCCAGTTTGTCAATTTTGGCAGTGATTACGAGACGCAGACTGCGACGGGGATGGAGAGCGAGCCAGCGAGTGGAGTGTTCCGCCAACGGGCGTCGACAGTCTGCAATTCGCCACGCGCCAACGCAAAAATAAAAACGCTTTAAGCACCCGTACAATATTTATGTACCCAATATTTTTAGAGTCCAGGAGTATATTAAATTGGTTTATGTATCAGTCAGAAGGTAGAGTATCCGATCCCATAAGGATAGTCCCCATAGAAATTTAAGAAACGCGATAACGGAAAAAGAAAATAGTATAGATTGATCATATCTACTAGATTGTAGAAATAAGTTCCGATCGGACCAATATTATAGGTTAAGGCTCTTTGAACAACTGGCTTTCGACCAGTATTATTGCTGGAGGAACGTACGCCCTTTTCCCCTCATTAAAGGGGTATCCCAAGCGTCAGTGCCCAAAAGACAAGCATCTCTTTAATGTTTCTGGCAGCAATTATGGTCAAGTACTGGAGGGGCTTTGGTGGGGGGACCAGGGTGTTGATGTCTAAGAGACGTTTGTGTAATCTGAATGGAATTTCTTGTGTTTGGTGCGATACGAGTGGGCGGGTTTTTCATTGAGACACTGTTCGATTGGTTCTAATAAGCTTCGACAGGCATTCACTTCGAATATCGATGGTATCTTGAGCTTTTTTTTCTTTCTAACCCAACTTATGTACATATACTATTGTTATGTGCTGTGGGTTGCCCAATGAAACTTACCTATACCAAGGTGGTACTTACTTAAGCTTATCCTTTATAAACTGGCAAAAGATAACTACACTCGTATCTGATTTTATCTTTATTCCTGGGGTTTTTAAAAACTTTCAGACGGTATGAGTTTAAAAAGTTCCAAAGTTCCATATAATGTTTGTTGAAATATATATAATTTTAGGGTTGTGTTTCCTGTATACCCCAAAAATTTCCCATAATTTTCTACAAATTCTTCGCATATTTATTTCGAATTTCGCATTGGATGCCAGTCCAGTTTTTAATCGTCTCTAATCCACCTGAAGCACGTCTGGCGACTCATCTCGGGACTGGGCAGCGCGGTTAAGTTTTAGACGATCCATAAAGTGGTGGATCGGCCACAGCCGTCTAGACTTCATTAGCCGTGTAATGTTGCAGAATTTATGTGGCAGGCACATTAAAAAAAAAAAACACCGATAAACACTCACACATGGGGCAAAAAGAGCAAGTGTCTGGGGCCCCGGGACTAGGCGAATATGCTTAAACTGGTACTCTGTATATATGTAGATATGGAGAGGGGCGGTGAGGAGATGGATGTAGAAAAAAGCTATGGTAATAAAATACTTGTTCCCAAAAAAAGCTTGAAGGCACGCACACACACTTTGACACAGATTAATTCTCATAGTGGAGTCTTGGGTATTACATATATTTTTTTTTATCGAATTTTAAACCAGAATATGTAAGGACGGTGTTGTTGATATTATTGAAATCTATGAAATATCTTTGAAATATTAATTACGTATCATTACGTAGATGTATGTATGTATGTATGTATGAACATTTATTCCCCTCTTATATAGACAACTGCACAAATGTGCAGCGCTGGCATTATCAGTGGAATGCAATTTCGGGAAATTTTCCATCACGAGACAATCAACGGAATGTGCAAGAGAGTGAGAGAGAGAGTGAGTGTCCAAGAGTGAGAGGAAGAGAATGACTGCAAGAGAGCACTAGAGATAGTGTTCTCGAGAGAGAGAGAGAGAGAGAGAAGAAGAAGAGAAGTTGTGAGATAACAGCTGCCTAACGTATTCTTATCAGCAATGCCAAACGCAAAACCACCCAACGAAGCAACCCACCCAATCACTGACCCATCCACAATCCACAGACACCCCACAGCGCCGCCTCATTTCACACCTTCTATCCACTAACCCCCCCCGCCCGACGCTCGGAAAGACCACACTCTCTGATCACCTTTCGTTGAAGAATGTGTAAAAGGCATCAAATTTAAATTCCAAATGTATAAAATAGGTAAACTATGTCTTTTATTTCTTGATATCTACTATAAATACATACATATATGCTCATGTATTTATGTTAGCATGTGTGTGTGTTAGTTTGTATAAAAAAAAAAGTAAAGAGTGAGCGGCAAAAAATAAAATAAAAGGCGGTTTTTTGTGTTGTGTGTGAGTGGAACGTAAGTGGGGAGCACCATGTGGAACTTGAATGGCCAGCAACGGAGAGCAAAGCTTGTTTGCGCTCTCTCGCTCTTTTCCGATTGTTGCTTTGCTTCGTATTACGAACGACGTAATACAAGCACACACACATACGCGCACACACACACACCAGAGCGACCGCCTTTTTTGCGCCACGAAACGAATGAACGATTGAACGACTGAAATGAAACGACGAATCAGTGTTCACAGTCGGCATCCAACTTTCCAACTAGAAGCAGCAGCGTTAACGAAGTAGTCTTGCGCGGTTAAAAGCCACGAGGTCGTTCATCTAAACACTACTTAACCCAAACTTAACTTGCCACCGTCCCGTCCCCCACAAAAACCACGATCGATCACGCGTTTTGAAAAAAAAAAAATAAATATAGAAACAAGTGAAAGAAATGTGTGCAATCAAAAACATGTGAAAGAAAGAAAAAGTGTCCCCACCAAAAAAAAAAAAAAAAAAAAACAAAATTCGAAAAAACTAAAGCGTAAAAAGAACGCGTTCCGTAAAGCGTAGCGTAAAGCGAAATAAAAGCAAAAGAGAAAAGATAGAGAGGAGATATATATATCCGAGAGCGTATATACAACATATACGTAGCACGATGCTTGGATGATCTTCGTCTCGAAGAAGTCACGTTGTTGTATTTTCTTGTATGAACGTATGGCGGGCGGGTATATTGCGATTTTTATATTTTTTGGCTTTTTGGGGAACAAATTTTGAAAATTTCAACACGCACACCGCTTAGGCGGTGTTGGGGGCTGTGTGTGTATGTGTGTGTGCGCAAATTAGAGTAAACCTGAAACGTGTTTATATTAAAAATTTGTTGTATTCTCTCCCACCCATTTGAACTTTAAACAACATTTTCGGTTTTCATTGAATTCTCATACGAATTCCAATTAAACGGTTGTATGTGTGCGTGTGTGTGTGTGTGCGTCCAATTGGCATGAATTGATGACGTGACGTGATCGTGATCCACACAGAGAGTAGAGTGCTTCTCTTTTAGACACTCTCTTATCGTTTCGCGCGTGTGTGTGTGCTTTTCTCTTTGTTGTGCTTTTTGATTGTGTTATTGCTGCTCTCTTGTGTTGTTTTCATTTAATTCTCTAGAATTTCACTATAATTTTTCAAATATTTTTGTAAATACAGCTTAAGCAAAAACCGCCGCCCAACAAAATAAACAAAAACCCCAAAACCGAGCAAAAAGTTATGCTTATTCAAAACCTGTAGAGATCTGATAATAACATATATATAAAACGTAAAGAAAGCACAAGTTTTGCTCAAAACAAAAACAACATTATCAACTATAACGAGAAATATCCCATAAAAACCCCCCATTAAAAGTGCAAAAAAACAAATTAAAACAGTGCCAATTAACAACAACATACAACACAAACATAAATAAATCAACATCGTTGGCAGTTATAACATCTAATATCTACAAAGTATACCGCAGTCAACAAGGAGCAACAGTTTGCTGAATAATTTCCATAACCATTTGGCACTTTTTTGGCGGGTAAATAACTAAAACTATAACTAGAACTATACCTGCTAAAAGAATATAATAGTTTCTATCAATAAGAATGATTAAACACATATGTATGTAGATCAGAGATCCGAAACTAAAAGAAAAGTATTTTTAAATTTTAATAAGTGGCCTTACAATCTATCAAATCAAATTGATATTAATTAAAGGTTTTTCAAACGTTTTCGTGTCGATAGATTCTTATAACTTTATGGTATTTGTTTGTTCAGCCATCGTTGAGGGGCAATCCCTTGAGAGCTACCCAAACAATATTTATAGTTATTTAGGAATCCATTGGGAATAATTTTGCCAAAATTCCATAGCTTTTACGAACCCCGGAAAGGTATAATTGCAGTGTAATTTTTAGATGCCTCCATATTTTGTAAAGCCTTTCGCTTTTTCAAGATCAATAAGAAAGTGAGTTTCATTCGAATGATGAAAAGAAAAGTCACGTTCGATTGATATTCTGTGGCAAGCGTGCGGTGTTTTATTAGTTTGGTTTTTGTGTTGCTTTTATTCGACTGTTGAGATTGTTGAGAGAGAGGGGAACCTGGGGGGATTGGTGGGGAGATCTTAATTAGAGCATTGCTGATAATAGCTCTAAAAATAGAACATTCAGCGCCACACACCATCCACTGATAGCACACTGAAACCCCTTGGAGCTCCCGAGCCCCGAGTGTCGTGTGTCGCTTGTACATAATAGTTTGCTCTTGTTGTTTGTATTCCCCCGATTTCCTACCGATTTTCGATTCGATTCGTTTGCTACGAGTACGAGTAAGTACTCGCATGTTTCTGTATTTTAAAAAAATATTATTGACATTGAAATGTGATAAGGTTTAATTTTAATAAATGGGTTGAATTCGCCACTCGGTTTGGCTGTCAAAAAGAGTTCTTTATGACAAGGTTTTTTTTTATCTATCGCCGCGGTAAGAGGTGCCAAGGTGCTACCAAGAAGCTGATGGCCCACAGTGGGTCTGTGTGGGTGTTATCATATCTGGAGTGTTTGCAGGCCACAACGGTGGAACGTGCCGCACCGATAAAGTTTAGAAAATGTGCTAAAGTTTGTTGAAAAATTTTTTAATTGGGAGTTGGGAGAAAGTAGTGGATGGAAGAAATGGGTGAGAATAGATGATGGAAAGATTGAAGAAGAAGGAGGAAGAATTAAGAGTTAAAATTTGAAAGATACATTTTTGGTTGTAATTCTGTTAAAAAAAGATTCCAGCTTCTTTATCAACCTTCGATTGAGAGAATGGGAATGTCCACAAATATTTATCAATGAAATGATTCAAAGAATCGATGAGACTTAAGAGTGCAATAAAAACAAACACCAAATCGATCCAAATACTAACTACAAGTACCAGGATGCGAAGATTGCACCTCAAAAGCATCCTCAATTAAGATGATTAACTGGAAAGGAGGATGATCACATCACAAGTTTTCTATCCATCCAGCCATCCATCCATCAAGCCCATCAATTCGTCAATCGACTGATGGGTTTCGGAATCGTTTGCTCTTTTAATTATTTAAATGAATTCTACAAACATTGCACGCGCTCTTTTGCCTACTTCCTACATTTGCATTCGCTGCTGCTGCTGCCGCTGCATTCCTCCTTCGGTGACTGTGAACTATTGCACATTGCCTTTGTGTCGCCGCATACTCTAGTGCTCCCCGCTATCCGCTCCCCGCTCTCCACTCTCCCTTGAACTGCTCTCTTTCCTAGCGCGTGTTTCTCTCCCAAGCCTCCACGTGTGTGTGTTCGGTGAGAGAAGGGAGAGAGAGAGGCAAAGAAAGGGGCCAGAGACTCTGGGCTGTTAGCTAACTGCACTTTCAATAAGCTTTTATTTGAATAAGCTTCCGCGATAATTGACTTAATAAATTATTAAATATTAACAGCGTAGAAAAAACCAGAATGCAGTGGGAATGCAGGCGGCACAGGCACTTGTCGCTGGAGAGGAGAGTGCTGCCTGCTGGAATGAAAAGTAATGAGAAAATTATGGAAAGCATTTCACTCCTTCCCTTCTACACGTGTATTCCCTCCTTTCCACTTCGCAGAATGCACAAAACAATGAAATCGTAGCAAAAAGCACAAGTAAATTCTACTTTCTACACAGATACAGATGGAAAGTGTCGCCTGAAGAGATTTGTTGTCCAAGGTTTAGGTTTTGGCAATGTCAAGGAGGGGGTTAAAGCCGTAAAGCTTCGCACAGAGATAGCAGCAAACGAGTGAGAGGGAGGGACGAACATTTAAGATAAGCGCAAACCACAAAAAGAGACAGAGAGGGAGAGCAGAGCAGCATACCATAGCAACAGTTACAATGTGCATACAAATATGATGTGCATTATTCCTATTCCTATTTATCTTTGCTTTTATCTCCCGCGTTCTGTCTCTCTCTCTCTCCTGCTTTCGATAAGAAACGCACTGCGAATGGAGTACAGGAAGAAAGAGTGAAAAGGATTGCAACAGAAATCCATTGAAAATCCAGTGGAATAAACAATCTGTTCAAGAACCAATATTCTTAAAATATTCTTAATATATCTTCAATATTATTTTGTCGAAAAGAATGTAAGAGTGCATTCCAATTTCAAGCAAGTTCTTTATCAGTAGGTTAGCTTTTACTTGGAATATAATTAAAATACTTCAAAACCAAAGGTCGTTCCGGCTTTAGGGAGGGTGACAAACCGCATATATACATACACACACACACACTCACACGGATGCAACATACATGCACAGACTAGTAGAGTATAGCGGACAAGTGACTTCGATGTGGCCTCGTCATCGTCATCATCATCATCATTATCATCATCATAATGTTAATCATTATGATCCCCCTACATTGTAGGGTCGCGAGGTGCTTGGGTTTGGGCTTTGGGCTTTGGCTTGGGCTGGGGATTGATGTCGTCGTCGTCAGCTCATTAGGCAGAGGGCCAGACCAGACCAGATCAGTGCAGACCATACCAGTTGTTACTGTGTATTGTATCTTCGATGCCGATGCTGTCCCGTCCGATTGACCAGCTGTCAGTCTTGCTCTTTTTTTTTCTCTGTTTTAGGTTTCTTTTTTTTTACTTTATTTTCTTCTTTTTTTTTTTTAGTTTTTGGCTGGGGAGACCTTCTCTCGAGAGTTGACTTACTTTGCTACATAATCCTGTTTGACGAGTTACGGCTGCTGCTGCTGCTGCTGGGGAGTAGATCTCTTTTACTTCCACATTGCTGAACCCGGTCTTATGTGCGGGGAGGTGAGGAGGGGCAAGAGGCAGGGTCCGCGGGGGACAGGCATACGAGTAAGAGTTTCCATGCATACGAAAATAATCACATGGTTTTGAGGGGCAGAGCTTCGCATCTGGCAGATAGTTTTGTGATCCCGGTTCGTGATCTTTCGGTTTCCCCTTAAAATGATAAGCAGAGAGTGACAGCGGCAGCAGCAGTGGCGGCGCTGTCCATGGGTGGGTCAGGTCAATCAAGGCCCTCAGGGTTTGACATTGTGGCGGGGTCACCAGTGTGGCCCTTAAGTTTTGATTCGTTCCTTGATCGTATGACATTAACTATACAGGAAAGGATATAAGTTGTTAGTCTTTGGATAAACCTCAAGCTTTGGATCAGGCTTCAGTCCTACCATTGTCGGGGTCACCATTTGATGGAGGCATTATATTTTTTATATAGTTTACCTGTTTTTATGGTAAATGATAATTTTCACCTTTTGGGAGAGACCTTTCGTTTGTTTTTTATTATTATTTTATTTTATGTTTAACCCGTTAAAATGTGTCTGTGGATTAGTCTAGATTTAGGCTGACTTGTTTAATTTGATTTCTATTTACAACTAGAAATAATAGTTTGACCCACTTTTTATTGATTATGCTTATAATGACCTCCACCAATTATTACACCCCTAATGTGTAGTCTACGCCCCTGATTCCTATGACTTGATGGCTTATCATTTGATCTCCGGAGAGGGCAATTCTCGGGTCTCCGGAGCAGATGTTCTCAAAGTCAAGAGATTTTTTTTTGGTAGAACTGTAGGCGCTGATAGCGGAACATTTCTGTACCCCCGAGAAGTGGATTTAACCAATACATATAGAATATGCATATGTGGAATCAAACGAAACAAACGAGAAAAGTTCGTGGGAGCAGCAGAAGAGATGAGAGCAAAAAGAGAGAACTATTAAAGGAATTACGTAACAAGTGTTCAGTTTATTTTTGTTTTGTTCTCTGTTGCTCTGTTGTTTTTCTTTTCTTTCGCTTCGAATCGTTTCGTTTTATATTCTTTTCTTCTTCTTCTTCTCGTTTTCGTTTTCTTTTATACTTTTTGTACTCATTCTCATTCTCATTCGGATTCTGTTTTTATTTTCATTATATCTTTTTTTTTATTGCCATCTTTATTTGGTTTGCTTTTGTGGGCTTTTCTTTTTTTTATTATTATTTAAGATCTGTTTTTACCTTTCGTTCTCTATTTTTCTCTTATATACTGCTACCTATACACAGATAGATACGTGAATGTACATTGGTTGTAGAAATTTTCAACTTGTTGCGTGCCCCATTTACCAAAACAATTGCCACACCTCCCTAGATATGTGAAAACCCAAAGAGACAGCCCGAGTCATTTCCCTAATGGGGCGCTTGTCAAATGATATTATGCTACGTTTTGCTGCCCGTGACATTGAAATACTTTGCCCCCAAAATACTCGCACATTTCCTCACAATATTTTCTGTACAAATTTCACCATAGAAATTTAGAATATTTTGTAATATACGCGAGGAAAATACATATTACGTATGGACTATTTTCAAGGCTAATTTCTCCAACGTACACCCACGTGGGGGGTATGGAAAACAAACACTTAGTCTGAATCATCTGATTCTGAATATCTCTTAAAGATTACATATAGCATATGGGTTTTATGGAGTAGGTTATGTCTGTCTGCCCAGCGGTTGTTTACAAGCTTATGTATTTGCAACCATTAACATAATCTCGCACATGCTCATTCGAGATGTATTTGCTATTGATCTTCTTATGATCGCATCGGGGGAAAACACCTACGCAAATATGCGTCAGCCGAATCTTGCGTCTTTAATCTAATGCAATAAATGATGTATTGAAAACCCCATTTCTTAATTTTAATCTTTCTTTCTCACTCTCTTCAATGGATTTTAAGCCGTGTGACGCATCTACTCACATCAGGCCATAGGCCACAGGCCAAAAGCAAATCAAATCCACTACCCAATCCACTATTTTCCATCTGAGAGGAAAGAAACCTTATTTTTGCTTACAATTTGTTTTGATGTTATTGTTATTCGGTCTTGAGTTGTTTCAAATAATGACGTTCTACAATATTATCAACTCCTATTGCATGGTATTCAATATATTAGCATTCCCATTTGTTGAACGTCTTTGCGACGCAATTTGGCACTTGGCCGAATATACAATTGAATCGTAGATTATATTTAACAGCCAGGCAAAAATGCAAACAGAAAATGCTCATCTTAATATACTTGAATTAGTTGGCAGCAATTAGAATTTTACACTCCCCCAAATGGTTTATTTTTAGATGGAGAAAACGCACTCTACGACGTATTTGATACCGAGTAAAGCGAGGGTATTTTTGTGTGTTTTTTGTGCCCACCTCGTTTAACGGATACTTGGAATAGAACAAAAATTCTTAGCAGTTATGGCAGGTATCAACATGACAAAGATCATGAAACAACTAGTGGTTGTGGATGTAAATAAAATATTCAAATCCATTTATGCGGGAAGCATGAAGAGCTTGTTGGGGGCCTAAATGCTATACCATGAAAAAAACCTAAAAGATAAAGAGAAAGAGGTAAGCTGTGGTCACGATCCCCCGAAGGTGCTACCCGAAGGTTTTTGTGAACCGAAAGCTCGAAAAGTTGATTCGTTTTTCGTGCTCTCTCTCTGTCTGGAACATTGGGTAGAGAGTATATGCCATTCGATCATAGTTTCTAATGTTCTAAGATGTGTTTTTTTGTGCTTTCTCTCTCTCTGTGTCTCTTTTTTGACAGCCTCTCATTATATTTCTGCTTTGATTTTTGTGACTTTTACTCGCGTAGTGTTTTAATTGTAGTTTGTAGTGTTGTAGTATTGGCTTAGGTCAGGTTGTCGGAATGTTTCCTTATTTTTCTGTTTCCAATTCGATTTGCTACTTAGTTTTTTTTTTTTGGGGGCAGAATTATTTGCGGCCATAAACCTTTCGCCAGAAAGATATTATATAATGACAAAAACAACGACAGCGACGGTGCGACCTTATCTAAATAATTGCGTTATTTAAATACGCGCACAAACCCATATTCATATGTACATATGTATGTATATGTATATGTAGATAATACATGCAGAAACGGACATATATAATTCTGAGTGTTTTATGTGTTTTTTGCCAAAGTCTAAAGTTTGCGGCATGCGGCATCAGGCCACTGCCAGAGATGATTTCCCAGAACAAAAATAGTTCGTTGATGCGACGCGATGTTCAGGTAGGCCGCCCCGCCACAAATGTTTTTTAGGTACAAAAAAAAATCCCGAATGAATGAACTTCCGTGTTCTCAAGGCAAAATGCTTTGGCCCCGCCATCCGCCGTCCGCCTCCTCTCTTTCTATCACTCTCTAGTCGTACCTACTTCTACATGTACCTCTCCCTTCCCCTCTATCTATGTGCTTGCCGTTGACTGAAATAAAAAATGCGAATATACGCATACAGAGATATGATTGAGTGCCTTGAGTGTGTGTGAGTGTGTTTAATTGAGTTTACGCGCCTTTACACACACTTTTTTCAATTTGTTTACATTATCAAAATAAAGAGAGAGAGAGAGAGAGGAGAGTGGAAGAGAAAAGTGCGTGTGTGTGTGCTCTTTATTTGCATTGAGCTTTTCTCTCTTATGCTTCAAGAGCGCAACTTGAGCTACAGTTAGAAGAGGCTAAGGTTTGAACGGTTTGATTTGATAATTTACAAGGAATAATTATGGGTATTTATAATGAGATCAGCTACCTTGTCGTGCAAGCTCTCTTTTGTACAAAGATCAAAGCTCAGGCAAATCTAAAAAACATTTTTTTTGGTAATTCAAAATCTTCTTTAGTCTTCTTTTAATTTGTATTACTTTATTTTGGTTAAAATTGCAACAGACAGAATCCCCATTCCCTATCAAGGTTCCCGTACGATGCTCGTCAAGCTTCAATAACTTATCAGCAGTCTCCCGGTCTTTCCGCCCATTCCAGACAGTGTCAATAGACCTTTTACGAGAGTACACACACACATACATACACAAACAGATTGTCTCTTCCGATCATACAAACATACTATATACAGAGAGAGAGAGAGAGAGATAGAGCGAGATGTTTGAACTTTTATTTTGATTATTTACCCACCAAAATACATATACTATCAACAATTATACGGTCGGACATTGATAACTGTCAGTTGTCGCCAGACTTTGAGACTAGTTGAAATCGCTTCTATTCTTCGTTCTCCTTCGTTCCGTTCCGCTCCGTTCTGCTCCGTTATGCTCTGTTCTGCTCCGTTCTGTTTTGCTAAATTTAGTCATTCAAAGGCATTCATAGATTTTATTAAAATTAATTGATTTCCATTCCACATTTCAAGCATCAAACAGAGTGTACGAGTGTTTGAATATATTGAAATTCATACATAGAAAATATGTGTGGCATTTTGAGAACAAGATCATAACCTACATTATCAACGATCAACGCATCGTATCGCTCATTGCCGTTGCCTGCTGTTTCTTCTCTCTCTTGTTTGCCTTGTGTGTGTTTGCTGATAAGACGCTCTCTTAATAGTTAACTCTCGTTCTCGTTCTCTCTAAATGACTCTCTTTAAAAGTGTGTGTTCTTTGGCTCTCAATAGAATATTATTTACTATTCTCTCAATCGTCGTATTTTCCCAAAAATATCAATTGTTTGGATTAATCAAGAGCGATTTCTTTGTCCGCAACTCTCGTTGCTTTCTCTTTCTCTCTCGCCGTGTGTCTGAGCAGTTATTCATTTGTTTTTAATCTTCAAAATGTGTTCAATCTAGGCAAAACCCAAAACGTCAATTACTTTACTTTAACGATTTGATAGCAAGACTCAAGATCATTTTGTAATCGTTTTTCCGCACGGAAACAATCAGAATGTAATTTCCCAATGAAATGATAAAACGATCACTGAATGATCTTGCACTAAGATACGTGTATTACATGAGGAACGACTGACACAATGACTAGACACGAATTCAAGGTTAAATCTAAGCACTCCTCTTTCTTCTCTTCTTTGCAGTGAACAAAAACAGATCTTAAAGCGAAAGCTTTGTTGTCTGTGTGTGTGTGTGTGTTTTTTTTTGGGAGTTCCTGAAAAGCTGCAAAGCTGCAACTTTACACCGAACAGTGGTACCACCCAATGATGGACGGCTTCGCGCAGGACTGGCCAACGCTGTCCCACACAGATAATGGCCTGGCCATGGACCAGCTGGGCGGAGTGGTGGGTGGCGGCGGAGGCGGCGACCTTCCCGGCGATGTGGGCTTTGAGCCCCAGACACGTGCGAGATCCAACACATGGCCCTGTCCGCGGCCCGAGAACTTTGTGGAACAGGCCGACGAATTGGACAGTACAAAGGCCAGTAATCAGCAATTGGCAGCAGGAGGTATGCATCTGTATCTACCGTATCTGTGTATATGTTTGTGTATAACTTATCTCTTTCCATTCTTAAAGACTCACAGCAGGCTATACAGAATGCAAATGCAGCCAAAAAGAATTCATCGCGTCGCAATGCATGGGGAAATCTTTCCTATGCGGATCTCATCACGCATGCCATTGGCTCCGCCACCGACAAGCGTTTGACCCTCAGTCAGATCTACGAGTGGATGGTCCAGAATGTGCCATACTTCAAGGATAAAGGCGATTCGAATAGCAGTGCCGGATGGAAGGTAAGAACTGGAAACACCTTGAAGAGTTTCTTCTGCAATATTTTGGGTTTTTTGGGGATATATTTCAAAGTGAACATCATTTTTCATCTGCAATTGTTCCTGTATCCTGTACCCTTTTGCAACTTTCTGATATGCTCGAACTCAATGGGAGTAATCTGTAATATTTCCATCATCATAATATTTCGTTTCTTTACATTCGAAGGTACTTTAAAAGTTGCCTTTCCACTTTCTCTGGTGACTTTATTACAGCATCTACTTCACTTAAGCGGCCCTCCCAGGTCTTTAGCTTTATTTTGTACCTCATCTTCCATATCCAGTTTATTTTTCGTGTTTCTTCTTTTTTTTTGAGAGCTTTCTGCTTTGTACTATTGTATTTTATTCTCTCTCATAATAGCTTGCTCTTTTGGCTTTCAAATAGCAATTTCATTCGCATTTCGGGCAACAAACACAGGGCGGGGCGCAAACGGTCAAGTTCATGGCCAAAGTCTATAAAATGGAGAAAAAAATGAAGGAGAAACAGAATGAAAAAAGAAGGAGAGAGTGAAGTGAACTCTTTGTGTGGTTTATATATTTTTTGTAGCTTTGTTTTCTTTTTTATTATTTTTGTTTGTTTTGTTTTTTGCTGCTTTTACGTGTATTATTATGCAATTTCCACTTGTTGGTATGCGTCTTCTTTTATCCCAAAATTATTTCATATTTACATTTCTTACTGTCTCTTTACGCTACATTTTCACCATCATGTTCGCTAATATTTTACAGCTTACTGATCGAGAATAGAAGCTTATAGAAGCTGTAGAATCTCTAGCTTTAATTAGGGCACCCGTTTTTGCTGGCAGGGCTTATTTTTATAGGCCAAAAAATAATAGGTAATAATAGTAAGCCCATGAAATGAATACTATCTTATACTAAAGCCTCCCCCTAATATTATACGGGTTTCCGTTTCATAATTCGACAAAAAATTAAAAAAAAAAAAGCATTTGATTTCTGTGTACATCTTAATTTTCATGAATTTTTTTTTTTGTGTTTCCACTGATACACTTCCCTTACATAGCTATAAGTATCTATGTGTGAGTGTGTGTGTGTGTGTGTGTTAATAATATAGATACTTTTTGCAATGTTATCAGCAAGTGCCATAAGTTCATTGACATGCTGCACAATCTGCCATCTTTTCGTATATTTTGTTTGTGGATTTAAGAATTAGAGGATGTCCATCACGAACATTTTGACTGATAGATACTTTTAAGGAGGGGATTTTTTTTTTGTTTTTGGTAGAATTGAATGTGATATTTCCTTGGCATTTTAGAGCATGGATTTTTGATGTTGCGTTAAGGAATAGGTTCGATTGTAGTCAAATTTACTGCACATCATTTCCTGTGGGCTATGTATGTTGCAAATCATTCAAGCAACGCCCCTCAGTCTGTTAGTCTCTTTTATTATATTTTATAGAGCAAATTAACTTCAATTGGAAGTATCCACAATAATACTTTATTCATACAACAGTCTGTACTCCCCATTGATCACGTATTACTCTGCCTTCCACGGTGTTATTCAACTCTTCTTCTACTGAACCCCCCACTGCATGGGTTCCTTCCGTTTATAAAAATCATTCGATCTACTCATATTTCTACGTTTACTGCAGTGCGTCATTCACGTGATTGTTTTCTTTACCAAGTCATTTTTGCTGATATTTCATTACCCGTACGAGGGGGTTCGTTTCTCTTGCTTTTGGCACCTCGCGAGTGATAAAAATACTCGTACGACCGACCAAACAAAAAATAATAATAATTGAAGAATGCGCTGAAAATACGAAATCGAAGACGTAGACCCCGAAAACCCGATACCCGAACCGAATCTTTTCTGCCCAGACAGCGCGCTTCCAGAGAATTGTTTTGGAGCTCTTTTATTTCCCGTATGGTTTTTTTTTTTTTTGGTTTGTTTTGGGTTTGTGAACTAATATTTTCATTATTTATATTAATCTGCGATGATGATTGTTTATAATTGTTTCGGTTGTTTGCCTTCGAGGACTTCACGGAAGTAGTCGCAATGCCCCGGGCGTAGCCCCCGTAGATGTCCCCTCGCATTGGGTTTCTGTTTTTGTTTTTGATTTTGATTACGAGTTTATGGGTTGCGTGGCGGGAAATAACAATCAAAAAAATTGATAAAGAATTTCGTACTAATATTAGGAGTATTTCCGCGTCGTAGAAACATTCTTCGTTTTAAATGGGGGAAGGGAGGGAGGGAGAGAGAGTTTCTGCGAAAAGCAGAACTGCAATCGTTGCAGAGTTTCCTAGTAGAACTTCTCAAAGAATGGGAATATATATATAGTATCTGCTGCAAGCACTTCCACAGAACTAAACACACAGATACAGTTGTACTCGTATTTTCTTCACATACAGATACATCCTCTAGTATCTATTTATAGATAGTTTTCTTCGCATATTGAAAGGAAGAGTTTTAGCCAGCCAGCCAGCCAGCCAGTCTCTGGACATTCCTTTTATAAATGTTTATAGACCCCTCTGGCTAATTTATGCAACACGTTGCCTGTTCCACCTGACACTTACTTCCTTTTTGTGTCCGCCGCCCCGCCTCCTCTGCATTTCGAAGCGTAAGGAACTTCCTCTTCGAATAGTCATCATCATACTCGTCGTAATCATAAAGAACGAAACGAGCGAAACACTCAAATGACATTTGAGGAATTTTAAATTTTTTGTTCCACTCGGCGTCGTCAGTAGCGGACTGCATTTCGAAGGCTTCTTCTGGATAGTGGAATGGTGGCTCGTGGCCTGTCTTCATCATCATCATCCACCCAGCCACCTTCTCCTCTGCTGCGTTTTGGCCATTGAACCGGTGCCAAGTATTTCCTTCTATTTTTCCTCTGCTGCTCCTTTTATCATATTTATTTTTGTGTTTCTTTTTTTCATTCTTTTTTTTTTGTGGTTTTTTTTTTTCTGAATCTTTTAATTGGCAGCGACCCGCAACGTGTTATAAATATTCTTCTTGAGGCCCCGCAACATTTTCATGGTTTTTATTTAGTTTTTTTTTTTCTTTCGTAATTATGTTTGGAAATTTGTGTAATTTATGGATGGGATGCCTTCTTAGGTGGCATCACATATATAGGAATTTATTTCCTGATTTTTTTGGCAAAGTGTGGGAAAGGTGAGGAATGCAGAGAAGTGTAGGATGGGATGGGGGCTAAAAGATCAGATGGTGTTGAAGGATGTTTGAAAGATTTATATGTTCAATTTTTGCTCATCAAATATAAAACGAAGGGGGAAAATGTTGAGCAAAAAAAATGAAGCAATATTGAATGGAATAATATGAAAAATTGGTAAGGCAAAAGTGAAGAATTGGTTGAGGAAAACGTAAATAAGATGACGAACGTATGAACAAGATTGAGGGGCAAGCTTATATGTGAGAAATATTTGAAGAAGCTTAAGGGAAACACAAGAGAGATGCAGAATTAAGGAAAAAAGATAGAATATCATCTGAGAAAATCTGATAAAATCATCAAAGGAGAATTCAATGAAACAAAAACTATAGAAAAACATTAGCAGAATTAAAAGAAAAGAAATTGTAAATGAAGGATGAAGAAAAATGAAGCATACACAGCGTTCATCAAGAAGCATTTAATAGGAAAGATACCAAAGTCCTACCGAAGGGGGTTGTGAACGAATTCCCTTCCGTTCCCAGAAGCTTCTCTTCAAAAGAATTCAATTGAATTTGCAAGACTTTTTCTATTCTGTGGAAATTTCCCTTAACCATTTCAACTTCATTGTAATCTTACAGATAGGCTTTACCACATGCCATGTAAAACTTTGATACCCTATATATACTTGCTGTACCTAGCACTTACACAACCTTGGTTCTCATTCTGGTCTGTTATCAATGGACTTATCAATGGCCTTGGCAGCACTCCTGCAACCCCCTCCACCGCTGCCAGAAATGCACGTGTGTCTACAACTTGAAGCCGTTGGAAATGTTCCTGCAAAATGCGCATTACTCAGCCTTTACCGTGGCCTGTCACTCACTTGCCCAGTGCACAAAATGCAGTGTACAAATTTGCAGGGGGTCGGTCGTAAGACGTAAGCTCTTCAAATACGAAGTAAATATATGTATAAATATGCAACAAAAAAAAGAGTAAACAATGGGCATTCATTAAGGGATAGGGTGAACAATTTACGTTAGAAATTGTTTGGCGTGTGGTGGCAATCAGTGTGACACTTGAGAGTGTGCACCTTCTCACACTGCCACTCTCTCTCTCTCTCTCTCTCTCTCTTTCGCGCTCTCTCGCTCTCTTGATTACTGTTTTTCACTCAAATTTTCACGCTCGTTAACCGAACATTAAGTATACGCAGGGTGTGTACGAGTTATACATATGTTTTTTTTGCGGCGCATTTCATTGGGCTTAAAGTGCATTTAAATGCAAAAACAATACACCAAAAACGTAAACAAATGTTGTGTGCCATAAAACTGCAATTAAATTGAATACTTTAGTATTAGTTTTCATTTGAATTTTTTTGTTTGCCCGAAACGTGCAAATACTGGAATGAAATGAAATCAAAATTCAATCACTAAAAACGAGAACAAGAATGAGAACAAGAACGAGATCATTAGAAGTCTAACATTCACATATTATTCATTTATAAATAAGCATTAACCTTGCGCCAGGCCCCTCCCCCTACCGCTCCCTCTCCCCCACCAACTGCCACTCACGACCGAGCGCCTTTGCTGCCCACTCGTGATGCCATTCGGTGTATTCAATTTCTATTCGTTTGTTTGAGTATTTCCATTATTTGCATGCAACCACTGCGTAATACTACTCGGATTCCCTCACTCGACTACGAGCGAACACGCCCCCTTTTCGGGTTACTCTGCCGACACGGAAGCAGACGCGCCTTCTTTTTTTTTCGTTTTGTTTTTGCTTAGTGCATTAGTTACACTTGTTTTTGTTTTTTTTTTTTGTTTTTGGAAAAATGTTAGTTAACATTTTTTATGACCGG